CCTTTTGTGAAAAAATACATCTACATTATTTTCTAAACTTTAGAAAGAAAATTAAACTTCAAAAATCTGTGCTTCTGTCAAACAAAGATGATAGTTGCTATCAACATTTTTGTACTTGATCTTTTTATTATCAAAGAAATCCACTTATAAAATTGGGATCATCTATTATCTGGAGTTTTTTATTTTCCTGTTTTTACTTACCTAAAATTCACATCTCTAAACTTGTTGAAAGAATCATTTTAAATGGCCAAGTGATAATATAGTGTAAGAATTGATGTATTCTATTTCCAGTTGTGTAGGGGATTATAAACAACTTTGGACAAAATTGTGGGTCAGTCTTGCTAGTAACTTTCTTGCAAAAGAATCCTTGAGATAACATTACTGAGAATCACACCTCATCTCTGGGTCTTTTCACTGTTAAGTGCCTGCTCTCTAAAAGTGTTTTAGTCTCATATATTATCTTGTTGGACTTCCTAGTACACTCAAATTAATGCACAATGTCACTACACCAGAGACATTTCCTGAAGCACCTATCTGAAATGTCATATCTGCTACCTGCAAAATTGTTTATTATTTCCTTATTCTGCATTATTTTTCATCATGATGTTCAATATTACTTAAGGTATTATAATTGTTTACTTATTTATTGTCTATTTCCGTTTCTTAGAATCTAAGTGAGGCAAAAATATTGGCTGTTTGGTTAAGCACTGTATTTATCTCTATTGCCTTAACTGGTGCCTGGCTCATAGTAAGTGAGTAATACATATATATTCAAGGAATAGATAAAATGAGAAAATATAAGAACTTCAATGTAAATAAGCAAGCTGTTTCAAATTATGTGCCCATAAACAATGTATGACAGTATCCATTTTATCATGGAATAGCTCCCTTTAACTATTAATTTGAAAATAATAGAGTAAGAAAAAATGTATACCCTATAAATATGTTGCATTCATTTTAATTTCTTTTATTTCTTCATTGAATCTTGCATTCCTCTTCTTTATCCCCATTTTAGTATGGTGGCATTCCTTTAAAATACTGTGTAGGTGGCGGTATATATTGAAATTTTTCACACTACTTGTATTGTTTCAAATTTTCCTTGTGTGGTTTTTTTTTAATTCATTAAGTTTATTGGTACATTTTGAGTTTCAACTTCCTTGTGTTTTGTGACAGCATAGATATTTAAAATATGTGAAGTTAAATATTTTATGATTTTTTGCTTGTCATCAAAGTGCCATTTCTCATTTTTTATTTTCTCTCTTTTTTTTTTACTTTCTCTTTACTCACCATGCTTTCTTTCTTTTTAAAAGTATTGTATTGCATTTTACATTCTTGCTTTTATTTCAAACCATTACTTTCTTCTCTCCTGTTTTTGGCTTTTTAATAGGTGATATATTTATTTGTTACTCTTCTTTTGATGAGGTTCTTCTTATCCCATTTTCTCTGTGGTAGTTTTATACAGGCCCTATTTTATACTTGCTTTCTATTTACTCAGGTCTCTGGCTAAGCCTAGATCTATCCAATGTATGTTTAAACCAGATAGCACTCACTTTTTTGTTGCTATCCACTTCTTCCTGCTTAAATCTCCTTTATATTGGTTACATCTTCTCATGCTGCTCTCACTGGGTGATATGTTGGTGTGCGGAACTCCTAGGTGGAGACTAAAAAGTGTCTATGCCTAAGTTCGCTCACTAGTGTAAAGGGGTCTCCTGTGTCAACAGCCTTGTTTTACCAACATGGAAAGCTACAGGTCCTAATATGTACCTTTATCTACTATCATCCTATCTCTGCTACCATATAAATTGTTTTAATTAATTAGGGGGTATGCAATATGTCATATGCCTTTTCTCTCCCTTCTTTCCTGTTTTCAGATATTAGGAAGATGTGTTGATTTCAGATATAGGAAGATATGGTGATGTGAGGATGCTTCTCTATGTATTCTAAGAACCAGTGCCTTCTGTTGATTTCCAAAATAATTGTGGCAATTCAGATGTTCAATGGAACTAATCCATAGATCTAAATGGAGCTTATCAAGAAATATTAAAATACTTCCTGAACTTTTAGATGGATAAGTGTAAACTACCTATAATTTTTCTTAGTCCAACATTATTAGCTTTAAAAGAATGTTAAGGAGATTCCCTCTATTATTTTTTAAGATTGTTGATGGGTGTATTGTTCTGGCACATATTTTAATAAGAAAATGTTGGACACCAACTTGATTATGGATTGCTAAGCACATGGTATGGAAAACTAGTATTGTGTGTTTTTTGCTGTAGTACTGGATCAGACCCAGAGCCTCATGTATGCTAAGCAAGCATTCTACCACAGCTAGATCCCTAGCCACTAGAAGTTTTATTGTAACATTTTTCAAGCTTTTTATTTTAGTCTCTTCTTCCATCCAAAAGTAACTCTCTTCCAAACCATCACAGATCATATCCATCTCTATTATTATCCCTAGGGGGTATATATATATTACCTATACATATCCCTATATATATGTGTGTATATATATCCCTAATATTATAAAATATATATATTAATTTATATGGAAAAATAATATGACATAAGTGGCTAATATTTTATTGTTATATAAGGCTTAAAAATTTAGTCTTTATAACTTTGTATATACATATTGTATCCTATTACTTTGAATCTTTTGTTAATTTGAAACAAATATTTCCATATTTCTTCTAACTTGTTAACATCTCTCAATATACATGATAGGGTTTTGGTGGTAAATTTATCTGAGGTATGAAAATTTTTTCAAATTAGATGAAGTTAGCAAAAAATGATCTGTAATGCTTAAGTCATTACATCTGGAGTAATGAACTTTTTCCCTATAAAATAAAGATGGAAATGAACATAGGTTGACAAACTCTTTTCAGTAGTATTTTGGTAGTCATCTTTTCAATGTAACAAGCCAGATTTTTGCAAAGAGGATTATTTTCATAACCCATGTGTAATTCAAAAATGTCTATGGCCATAAAAAACCTGGTAAATTGACTATAAAAATTACATTACAGGCTGGGAAATCACCAAGGCCCTTTCAAGTACTGGCGTATGCTTTATGTTTCATGTAGGTTATTAGTGACCTTTCTGCATTTATCAGAAAGTCCTTTTTTTGTGGATGCAGATGCTCTGTCAAAATAGAGACCAAGTCTTTGAGATATTTGATTGTAGATTTCTCAAGAATGAGGTCTGATAGCTTTGTTGACTGTTAGTTGTTAGTCTTGGATGAAAGAAACAAGAAAACAAAGCATGTTCTTTATAACAAATGAAAATGGAACATGGAATTACAGGGTAGCATTGAATTGTAGAAATGTCTTAAAACTTACTATCCTTTCAACAGTAAGTATGATTATATTTTTTACATATTTATTAGCTAAAGAAGCCAAAGTATTTTGCAATGATGTCTGTTTTCAATATATAAGACACCCATGATCAAATCACTAAAAAACACTTATTTAGAGGTGATATCATCCTGTTTTTCCAAATCTTTCCAAACATCCCTGTTTTATGTTCGAGAAAGTAGATACCCCTAATTTCTTCCTTCGCCCCTACCCTTGCTTAATCTTAAAAGTTATTACTATCTTATCTGCTACTGAAGTCTTCAAAATTGACCCTATCCCCCAGATAGTATTAGTTGGTCACCATTTTCTGCCACTTGTCTTGTTCATATTCTCTATTTTGGTTGAGTATTTTATTTATGTCAGCAAATACCCAATTTGAAGATAGTTTTTTTGGACAAATAAAGGCTCATGAAATGGGAGTACTAAGTTCAATATCTATGTGCAGTTTTGCAGCTTCTGTAAAGTGTTGAATCCAATGATGTCTTGGATATCATGTGCATCACCAGGTAAAGAGGGTGAGAGAATATAAGTGGTGAATCCATCTCAGAGTGACAGTCATTTAGGGGTGGAGAAATTGTCTAACCCAATCACTATAGAAGCATCTGCTTCTTAATTGTGTTGTGTTATTAAAAAATGCACATTTAATTTGTTTTAAAATATAATTATATTTCTTTGTTATTGATTTGTTGATAATGATGGTACCTCTCATGTTTAAATTATTTAGGGGGAACATGTAAACTTAATGTATAAAATTGAGCAAACATGCAGTTTTGAAAGATTAATCTTCTTTAGTGTTTCCCTTATTTTCTGTTATCTTGAACAGTCATTTTTGAGATATATTAAAAAGAAGACACACTTTTCTAAACCGGAGCACAAAAGGAAATTCTAATTAAAGTTGCTATGAAAATAAGTCATGATATTATGTTAGCATGTAATCTTAAAGGAATTGAATATAGTTATTCTTAGCCTCAAAATATCATTTTGATTTCGTTAGGCCCAGAGAATTTCGTTTATAGTTCAGCTTTGCAAAAAACTGTATAATAAATCAGCAATCTTCAAAAAACTAAAATAAAATCTTAAAACCTAAGTTATAGAAGTTGTATACATATTAATTAGTTTGTCATTTATATATTTCCAAGTTGATATTTAATATAAAATAAATGCTTTACTGCTTTTGTTCTAAGTTTTGATCCAACATGGAAAATATTGTATTGGATTTCTTCACAGAAAGTCCTTGAATTAAATAGTAGCTACTGCAAAAAGACACTTGGGTTTATCTGTGGTCTGTTGCAAATCTTTAAGCACATTTTCTATTAAAAGCATTTCTAAAGTTCAGTGTCTGCTTGGTTTGGGTTATCTAAGCTGTAATAAGTAGCCTTGGGACCCCTGGAGGCACACCCCACACACTTATGCTGTGTGACCTCAGGTCACAAGTAATGGCTGCAAGCTAATTGATTGAGAAAGGCTTGTCTGGCGGGGGCCTCTTTGCGTCCTCCCTGTACATTCCTAAGTTCTGTGAAAGAGGCACTAGCAGCTCAGCCCAGCAAGGAAGGAAAAAAGAGAGGAAGTTTCTGCCTTCTGATTACACCCTGAATTCCCTTGTAGTGAGCTTGCTTCTCTCCACCCACTTCTTACCAAGAACTCCTTAACTTGAGGGGTGAACAACTTAGTGCTTGATCCTCCAGGGTTACCTGCAAAGTGATTCGATTATCCATTGAGCGAAAGAGCAAATCACCTACTTGAGGCGGTGGAAAGCGTATGGAAGTTATATTAGAGCTTCAGCAAAGTGCACAGCTGCATAATGCAGAAGCCTGAATTCAGATTGACAGGCAAATAAGCCGGCTTGTGGAAGGGGCCTCTGGGTAGCAGCTCTGGGCTGTTGGGTGTTGGACAACTCTAGGCAAAACTGAAAAGGAACAGGGGCAGAAAATAGCACACTCTTACTCTACGCAACTGTTGTTTTCTCATGGTGAGTGCAGATTTAAGATATTGTTTAATTTCTGTGTTGTAAAACAAGTTAAGAAGTCTGTTGTGCTTTGAGGGAAGTTGTACAGTTAGAACACTTCTTAGGTGATTTGGCTTTGTTTCTGCTTAAATTTACATTAAGCTGGGTGATAGGAACTTGAAAATGCAGTGTTTGTATTGTCCTGTGCCTCCTGCTTTCTTAAAATTGTCCTTGTTTATGTCATACTTCTCTTCAGCCTGAATCAATATTGTTTTAGGCAAATCATGTATAGAATCAGTGAGGAAGAAACAACGTGTGACAGAATATATGTAAACATTTCATTTAGTCTGACTTTGTGTCACTTGTCCATAGCTTCATGATTTGCCGCCTTATCACAGGGATATGCAGCCCAGACTGCATGAAAAGAGCTTTGTGTGAGAATTCCTGGCCAGCTGAAGGGTCAGGGCCTGTGCAATACCTGACAACAAGCAAGACTTTCTGGTGTACTCTTATTTTTAAACCAAAATAGAAAAAAAAAATGCATCTTTACATATTAAAAACGTAAGTGTGTTTTGACTCCAGTAGTTCCCTTCTTAAAGTTTACATGTGCTATTCCTGGCAAAGGATTGTTTTAACTTCTTTGGAGCAGAAGCATGCAAACTTCTTTTGTTTTGTTTTGTCTTGTGTGCTCACATTTCATTGTAGAAACTTTCCCACATTTTAAAAATCATATTGAAATAATATTAAGTAATTTTCATTTCAGTGCAAATATTTGGAAGTTAATAGGCTTATGTTTTCTGGAGAAAATATCTGAGTGTAAGTTGTGCTTAATTTCTAATTTAATCATACAATCTTATTTTAAATTTACTTTTTGTTAAAAAAGTCTTTGAGTATTCGTAGAAATGTTAGTAGAAGAGGAATGTTTTTCTTATTCTAAAATTACAATTCACTATTGAAATATTAATAAGTGCCAAAATATTATTGCTGTTGTTGACTTTGTTTGAAAAGTAGTTTTATTAACAAGGTGACTCCATTGGCTATTACCAAATAGGATGAAGCAAAAAAATGTCTTTTCACACTCCTGATTTCATAAAATTATAGAGGTCTGTGTTGTTACTGGGCATTTTACATTCATTTAAACTTTTAAAAGTGCAGCTGTGTAGGATAAAATTTGCATATTCATTTTAAAAAGTAAAACAAGTGGGTGCCTTATATTTTTAGATTTGTACCTTCTATTTGCTAAAGTAAATTAATAAACTGAAAAATATATTGGAGTAATTTTGAAGCTATATAACTACAAGGGAGGAAAGTGTTTAGGGAAGAATAAATGTATTTCAGTTATAAGGTAATTTTAAAGTATTACTTAGCTCTTCTTTTGCAAAGATTTATGAAAACTTATCAAGCATTGGTAGAACTAGTTTTGAGTTTCATACAAAAACTATGTGTAAGAAAGATTCTTATTTTAGAACTATTTGTATGATTTGATACAAATTTCCTTCAACAATTGCAAAATGTGACTGGTGAATCTGTTTGTAAGAGAACAGGTTCATTATGTTCTCATCACCTGTTACAGTCATTCTTTCTTGCCCAAAATAAAAGTTTCTAGCTGTTTGTTTATTAGTGCTGACAGAAAATGAAAAACTGTGTTTTTAAGCAAGAAAATGTTGAGGTTTTCATTTGTGTGAAGCTTGAGCTTTTAAAAATTATATTCTTATGAAAATCACCCAATGTGTTATTTTATAAGGTCTTTTGTTACAATTTTAATGTGATAGTCAAGAAATGATGTGTAATTCTTTTGTTCTTTCTTTTAATATATCTCAGTAAGTAAAGTTAAGGTATAGCTGAGACTTTATGAAAGGCCTTGCCAAGAGATCTGCCTTTTAAAAATCAAGATAAAAAAGAAAAGAAAAAGAAAAAAATGTTAACCCCTTACCTAGTCCTCCACACCAATTCAGATTCCAGACACTAAAGAGAACTTCATAATTTTTCTTGGTTATAAAGTCTAACCACAACTTAGGTAGTTACTAGGCTATGGGGAGGAGCCACAAAAGAATGGTGTTCCCCCTAATAGAAGTATATAAAGTGTGACAAACAAAATATAGAAAGATCTACTGTTTAGTTTTTCTAACATTTAAACTTCAACTACTGTCTTCTATCTTTGGTGTTCATATTTACTTATTGATTGATTTTTTTTAAATGAAGATTTTTTTGAAAATCTGAAATAAAACACCATGATCTTAATGCTATGGTTTTGAGAAAGTATGTATCCTCTTATATAAGGTAATACTCTCAGGTATTTCTATAGGTATTAAATTAATAAGAAACAGTATATATATGTTTACAAACTGACATCATATAGAGATCACTCTTATTTATATATAAAGCCTATAAACACATATTTTTCACATGTAACATGAACATGTATCTTGTGTTTATGCTTCTAACATCTTGAAGGAACATCCTTCCCTTTTAGTCTCATAGTTATTTTTAAAGAAATGTATAGCTTAACAAATGGAAAACGGCCTTCTGACAAGTTTTAAACAAAACAAGGAGAAAAATGCTGCTTCACCAGTGCTGTGAAATATAATACTAAGCACTAGTTACAGAATATGTCATGAATGGAAAGTCGTTGGGATTTAATCATACATATTTGATCATAAATTGGTGATTAACTGACCTTTTTTTTTGCTGTATACTAGTGTTTGAGGTGTATGTGTGCATGTGTGCTTGGATTCATGAGTCCACCTAGAGGGTGACAGTAGCCAGGACATATGCTAGATTTGTAACATTCTTTGGTTTACTTCATTTTTTTTTGGTACTGGGGATCGCACTCGGGACCTTGCACTTGTGAAGCAGGCACTGGAACCACTGAGCTAAATCCTGGGCCCTTGGTTTACTTCTACTTATGGTCACTAAATGTTATTTCTACATCCTTGTAGTAGTAGATGTTACAGTAAACTTGTGGCTACTCTGTTAAGGATGAATATCATCTTAACTGTATTCTTGTTTTAGTTGTGTGATCGACTTGTTTTAATGATAATTAATTCTATCATAATGCTGTATAGGGCAGAATCTATGGGATTAGATTCTATTTTTCCAAAGTATGGGCCTTCATAAAACTTTCTCAGAAAATGGCAGTGTTTATTATTCTCCTTATAGTGTTATTCAGCTTTCCAGACGGTTTGATCTTAGGACTCACATTGTTCTTAGAGAGATCTCAGGAATTTTCTTTTCTAATGTTCTTTCTTTTAACATTAGTTAGAATCTCTTTTTCTGGAACTCCCTAGCATATATAT